TATTATGTACACTATTTACCTCGCTATCATCCTCATGTGCCATGTGTCCTTGACACATGGCACATGAGGATGATAGCGCGAGCAATGGATAAAGACGTTAGTTAGAGCAGTGGATAAAGACGTTAGTTAGATCCAGTGACAGGGCCCAAAGAGTGTGTGTTCAATACCCGGTTAAGGCGGTGGAGAATTTGGAGATGGGAATTAACAGGAGATAACTGATAACTGGCATCCATTAGACATGGCATGTCGAACTAGAACAGTCTGCTCCAGCGAGCGAAATAAAGGGTTCAGTTCGACATTCCAACCGCCTGAAGAAGGCCGGAGCGTACAACGGCCGAAACGTTGTGATAAATAGGGCAACAAAGATGAGGATGATAGTCCAAGCAATGTAAGTAGTGTATTTTCTGTTTGGTAATACTTGCCAGATATTTAAAATTTCGTACTTGCAGGATTTTGATCTCTCCAATTTCTAGCTCGCATCTTGGACTATCCCTCTTGTGGAGAGTTAAACTTTAAAGCCAGATGTGAAGGAAAACACCAGAGAATAATATTCGTCACAGATTAATTCATAATCGAAGCTTTATATGAATATAAATAATGGATGAACTTTTGTAGCTTATTGGCGTTGATTTTCTCACGTGGCTGTTTTATTACTACAGTATGGTGCAATAAATACAGTGCTGTTCGATAAAAGTGACTCACCTGATTGTTTTTTTACTAAATGTTCTCTTCTCCGATGAAACGAAAGTTGAGCTAAATTCAAAGGATAAGCGATCTAAAATCCGAAGAAGAAGCTTTGAAAGCTCTTTGAATTTAGCAGTAAGTACTGTCAAGCATCAGTTCAGTATAATGTTCTGGGGATGCTTTTCTTTTCATGGAACTGGTTTCTTAAAACCTATTGAAAAAATCCTCAGGAGCGAGCAGTAAAAGAGAATTTTAGAGTCTTGTCTGCTCCCTTCTGCTGAAAGGGTGCAAATCGACCCCACCAAGCTCATTTTTATGCAGGATAATGCTCCCTGTCACAAATCAAAATTGACGAAGGAATACTTTGATGAGAAGCAGGTGAGTGTTATGACATGGGCGCCCAAATCTCTTGACCTCAACCACATAGAAAACTTATGGAGCATGTTACTCAACTGCTTTCTGGAGGGACTGTACTGTATGCTCCATAAGTTTTCTATGGGGTTGAGGTCAGGAGATTGGGGCGCCCATGTCATAACACTCACCATTAACAATTTCAAGCCATTTTCCATTACACAACCCGCACATCCAAGCTTACAGCCCTTGGCATTTCCAAGTGGTTACCCATGCTCAACTTTGTTTCACTTCGGTAATCGTAAGGCAATCGGTGTTTCAGCGTAAGCCTCCAACTGATTAACCAATTCATTCCAAATGACTGGATCTGGAAGTCGCAAGATTTAGGAATGGGAATATGGAATTGCGATGTCCAATATTCCTTATGGACACGAGAAAAAAGTAAAAAGCCGAATAAATTGAATGCCTAAACAAGAAATCATCAGGTGGCTCAAAGGAAAGACTGTCTACAAGTATCTGTGTATTTTAAAAGCAGGCATCATCAAAAGTTTTCTTGAGAAAGAGAGCAAAGTATATCCTAGATGAACAAGAAAAATACGAAATACCAAACATTGCAACGAAAATTCAAGAAATATAGAACCCATTGTGAAGTATACCGAACCCTTTTTAAACCGGACAAGAAATTTTTTTAGAAAGCCTTGTCTGCAAAAAAAAAAAAAAAAAAAAAGGAAAAAGATGACAATGTATAATTTTCTACAAACGAGAGACTGTTGACAAACTATATGTTAAAAGAAAAAAAAAAGATGTGGGTTAGTCAGCATCGAGAATTTCGTTGGATCCACTATCACGTATATAGACAGAGAAATAAAAGACTTCTTAGAACAGCCAAAAACTGCATTAAAACGGAGAGAAGTGTGATAGAGAATTTAGAAAAAAATACTCCCAACCCCCCAAAACGAACAACAATAACGCGAATAAAAAAAACAAACAAAAGAAAACGGGAACATATATAAACACAAAGATACTTCAAGTAAATATCTCGAGAGATTGACTGTTAATTCGATATGGAGGATATTTTTAACCATTTCACCTCAAGCAAGGCACTAAAGCCACTAGGACGTAATAGGTTTTTGGATGTCAGAAAATGAGAAAAACTAGTATTGAAGAGAGATGACAATAAAAGAGTAAGAATTAAGCAGGCAGAAGATAACGATTGACATTACATTTAAATTTCTGAAGATCAAAGTTGACAGGGAAGAAAGAAGGCGGAAGAGAATTCCACAAGCAAGAAGTGCGATGGAAGAAACTGTTAGAGTAGAACTTACGGTTACATTAAAACTGTAAATTGATGAGACCTCGCGAATCTAGTACTGCGTTTAAATTCATAAAGTCTATGTAGCACAGAGGAAAGTTCATGAAAACAATTACCATGAAAGTATTTATAAAAAAGTCAGATGGGAGCTAT